TTGTCAGGTCTCAAACCTAATTATGAGAAATGTACTATTTTGCGATTTGGTCCCTTGGCAAAATCGTCATTCTCACTACTGTGCAATCTGCCGATAAAGTGGTCGAATGGTCTGGTGGACATGTTGGGTATTTCTGTTCAGGAAAATATGCAAGAACTTACCAAAGTAACTTTTGACTGTAAATGAAGTAAAATTGATAAGATGTTAAAACCATGGAAAAGTATAAAATCCCATCTCCACCTGAGTTTTTTTTTACTTACTGTATATGAGCAAAAGATATTTAATTTGATCTGGAACAATAAACCAGACAAGATCAAACGAACTCAGTTACACAATGAGTACAATCAAGAGCGGCTAAAATGAATTAACATAAAGGCCATTATTATGTACTTAAAGCTACCTTGAGTACAAACCTGTATTTGAATAAACTATGGTTTTCTAGTAAGTTATTGAGATCTTATCATCCAGTTTTTGAAAAAGGGTTATTTGCCTTTTTGCAATTTCAGCCAGTTCATTTAAAAAAGATAAGAAAAGAACCGTTACCAAGTATGTCGGGATTCCTAGAAGAGGCGACGTGAAGCTGGTCGGAGTTTCAGTTTAAATCCCCGGAAATTCCGACTGATGTACAGCAACAAGTCCTTCAGTTTCACTCAAACATTCAAATAACTGGGAGACCCTTTGCATGGAATCTAATGATGCAAAAAGGTATTATTTTTATAAAAAGATCTTATTGACAGTAATGGTAATTTCATGTCTTACACATGAGTTGCATCAGTTTAATCAATGTGTGTCAGCAATTTACTTACTGTATATGAGCAAAAGATATTTAATTTGATCTGGAACAATAAGCCAGACTTATTTTTTATAAAAAGATCTTATTGACAGTAATGGTAATTTCATGTCTTACACATGAGTTGCATCAGTTTAATCAATGTGTGTCAGCAATTCCTAAAAGGTGGAAAATTATCTTGAAGAGAGGAAATACCAAAAATGTAGGTCCTTGTACTGCCCCCATTCCATATATAAAAAATCACATGGTTGAAAATGATTGAAATAAAAACATTACACTTATTTCATGGAGAGTAAAGGGTTGAAGTCTAGTCCAATAAAGATACAAAACAGTTGGGAATACAAGTTAGATGTGCCATTCCATTTTTAACTTGATATATAGAACTACCATGGACTACATACTAGATATAGAGGAGTCAGATGAAACTCGCCTATTTTAGTGTTGTCCAAAAGTGGCTTTATTTTGGACTCAGACCTGAGCACTGGATTTCTCCATACAGTGTAGCCTTTCGAGTAGATCTTGTAAATGTACTTTTGGGAGACATAAGAAATAATTCAGATGATATTGGAAACTTAATTATACAGGTAAGGAAAGCCTTTGATTCTTAAAAAACAGGTTCAAGATGTTTGTAAAACACCACTGGCACCTTGAAACACCCATTGCAAAGGATCAAAAGAATATTAATTACCTTCAACATAAATGGGGGAAACTAATTGAGGGGGAAGTGTGTGACCCACCTTGACAGAATAAGAGATTCAGCCTTATACAGTTGAGAGGAATGCAGATCGGGTTGGGTGGCAGGATGTGGAAGAAGGATAATAGTGAGCTGGCTGCTGCTCAAGTTGTCTTGACTCTGTGGAAGTCACTGCTTTCCTTTCTCATCTTCTCCACTCACAGTGTACAATGATTAACTGTTATAACTCTATGCATCTGTATTGTGTAGTCTATGGTGTTCTATAAGAAAACGTGAAAATTGCTTATTTGTCCTTACAACTAATTATTATACCCTATACATCTGTTCCCTGTTAAAACGCACTGATTAGTGATGGAGAAAGGATATTGCTCAATTGTCACTTATGAGCAGCTATAATTTATTGTTCCTGTGAAAGTAGAGACACAATTGTAAAGATCAACTGTTGTGTAGAAAGGAAATTAAAATGAAGAGACAAATGAATTAGATTTTAGCTAAGACTGGAGCAAAACTATATTGCCTGGGCAGGCTGACAAGTTAATTTCCAAAGTTGCACTTTCCTCTTTTTAAACGTAAAAGCTTTGCCAAACGCGATGTCAAGAAAGTCTCTCTCTACCATGATTCTGTAACAGTTTATAAAGGGTTGTGCCTCTGCTCTCTTCGGATGAGAAAGCGTCGTCAGTTTGACCCAGCTGAGGGAACATGATGCTCCTGTCAGCCCTCCTGTGAGTGACGGTCTCCCTGCGGCAGCTAGCAGTTTCACCACTGGAACAAGTAACAGGTTTATTCCATGCTGAAAAAAAGAAGAAAGAAAACACAACGTTTCAGCCATGGAGCCTTCTTCAGGTGTGGAAAGGCTCACCTGAAGAAGGCTCCATGGCCGAAACGTTGTGTTTTCTTTCTTCTTTTTTTCAGCATGGAATAAACCTGTTACTTGTTCCTTTGCAGCCTGCGCATGCTGACGCATGCTCCCCAGCTGACCTACGTTTCAACACTGTACCCACAGCCTCTCTTCCTTTTCCTAGGGGCTCTCTGTGTTCAGGCTTTAGGAGGTAATACTATGAACACATGAAGAACAGTAGTATGAACAATATTAGCATCATGACTGTTTCACCCCTGGCCAAGAGAACAGGAATCCTGACTAGGAATTAGTGCTGATTAAGGTTAAAAAAGAAAAATGGACAAGTGATCTTCATCATAAACTCCTGCAGACAGTTTGTGCAGAATGATTTATTTTTGCACGCAGTTATATATTTAAAGACAGCAAATAGCAGATTGGGATAATGGCATGGTATGGTTTAAACATGGTTAGACTTGGCAGAAAAGTAAAAGCCAAGCCAACTTGATTTCTTATTCTCGAGTCAGAACTTTCTCGAAGTGCACAGGGAGATTGCCGTTACAGCCGATGACAATTTTTCCGGAGCGACTGGACCCTTTGTATTCACACGGGGGGCGATTGGATCCCCCTTTTTGTGTGCAGGTGAAAACTTTGAAGGGCTTGGTGCTTTGGCGCAGATTGCCAGCGAGAGGAGTGCCCCCTGCGCCACAGACCGATTGGACCTGGTTAGTTGTTGCGCTGACAATGAAGCTGTTCTTCTCCTTGCAGGGACTGCCCAGACACCTGTTCTTCATTTCAGCACTGCATTGTTTGGCACTCATGCCACTCCTATGGTAATGCTGTCTTAAGAACTTCTGATAGCGTGTCTCATCAGCTGGGGGTGGACAGCTCCCCCACCCAGGCACTGCAGTCATGACCACAAGGAAGAGGAGCAAAGGGGCCATCTTGGGAGTCATCCTGTTTCTCTGCAAACCAATGGAGAGAGAATGGTTCATAACAAGTCTATAACTCTAAATAACTCTCAGTGACATTTCAATACTGTTTTTTTTCAGTGGTATTACACAGTTTAATTATAAGTGAATTCCACACCAGCGCTGATTCTGTAAATGATTTGTACTCGGAAGATATGGACTTTCCTAAAAACGTGTCATGGGTTGGCTAGCTCAGCAGCCTCCATGTTCTGAAAACATAAATATCTCTGACTTGCTGCAAGTCACTTTGAGAGTTATTGCCTAGTGATTGGGAGCTAAGCCATGGGGAGGAAAAGAAAGAGCAAAAGAGTACCCTGCCTCACTAAGAATTGCTTTGAGAGGTGACGTCTCTCCACCTGGGAACTATGCCCTCAGGAGAGAGAGGGGAAAAAGAAACACTACTCACTGAGAGGTGCAGCCTCGTGACTGGGAGGACCTAGACCCTCAGGAGACAGAGAAGAGAAGAATTAGTGACAACAGTTTAGCCATCGGTCCCCTTTGACTCACACTGCACGAACCTCCCCAGCAAGGGTCACGGTGCTGCTGCCACCCTACAAACAGAAGCTAAAGACCGTGCGCCACCTGCGATAAAGGCCCTGCGCCACCTGCGATAAAGACCGTGCAGCACTGGTCAAACGCTGCTGAACAAGAACTGTGCCTATTCAAAGATTTTTCCACTGATCTACAGTAAATGAGTATACAGTGGTGGTCACATCCTACACCAATTACTGTATGGACAGACGTGTTCCTCCCAGGAAGATGCAGATATATCCCAATCACAAGCCCTGAATGAACAAAGACATTCGCTGCAAATTTAATGCGCGGTCTTCTGCCTTCCAATCAGGTGACAGAAACGTACAACAAAACGCACAACACGCAAGTTGCTCTATGTACAAACAAGAGGCCTAACATTCTGGTCACCCAGAAAACCCCAGACTGCTACTAAGCATTAAACTCTTAATGCCTACCGAGGCCACACAAGAGATGAGCTGCCTTCTAACTAAATACAATGCAACCTGCAGTTAAATCTCTCTCTTTGAACCCCAGAGCTAATATCCACATCCCAGAAAATGTACCCTAAGCAGGAAAGACGTTCTAACTGAGGTACCAGAAAACCCAAGTTCCCTAAAACGCAGAATAGCATGCTCTCTCTAACAAGGTTCAAATACTTAGCTCCAGTCAGGTTTGGTTTGGATGATCAAAAAGTAGGGGTTCTCGCCTGGCGCAAGCTTCAAGTCCCAACTCCTGTGGACTTCTCTCTCTTCTCCCTCTCTTTTTTCTCCCCAAAAAACAGATTTTTTTTCCTGTCTTCAAAGACCACTTTTTCAAGTTGTGGCCCTGTCAGACAGCTGAAAATGCTTGTAGACCTTGCCCTATGTGTCTACTAGCTTGGATAAAAATGTGATAGAAACTGGACATTGGAAAAAATCTAAGATAAGATCACTTTATTGGCCATATACAATTTCTTGTATTAGGAATTTGTCTTTTTGCAGACCCCAACTTGCTCTCTATGAGACACACAGACAAGGAGAGAAGCTGGGGGTCAGAGCGCAGGGTCAGCCATTTATACGGCACCCCTGGAGCAGGTGGGGTTAAGGGCCTTGCTCAGGGGCCCAACAGAGTAGGATTCCTCTGCCGGCCAAGGGATACGAACCGGCAACCTTCCAGCCATGGGTGCAGATCCCTAGCAACAGAGCCAAAATCCTACATCATTTCTTTGTGAAGACAGGACCTGGAATCATAATGTTTGCATATCTAGACAATTTATGAAAAATATTTAAAGCTATTGCAGTTCAATAGAATGCCTGTAAATGCTAGACGATTTTGCATTCCTTATCAGCAGGTGTGAGTTGTTGATCATAGATGACCCCTGGTTGCTATGTAAGCAAACCTATTGTTAATGTAAACAAAGCCTGGCTGAGATCATGTTACAGAGCTCCGTGATGTTGGCGCCCACTAAAGACAGCACAAACAGTGAAACCCACCTCATTTGTTAGTGCTACGTTTGTGCTATTGAAAGTAGAGTTTATGCTGCTTTCGTTTCTGAGATTTAGCGCCTTGTTTTTTCGGGGTCATGACATCACTCAGCCCCCCCATATTGTCAAAGGGAAACCAAACTGGTCTCATTCGTTAGTTCTACGTTTGGGCTTGTTTGTGCCGTTGAAAGTAACTTCACAGCTGCTTTCTTTCCCGAGATATAGCATCTTATTTTTTGGGGGTGTGATGTCAGTCAGCCCCCCTACAGCATCGTAGGGAAACCGAAATGGTCTCATTCGTTAGTGCTGCGTTTGTGCCGGTTTGTGCCGGTTTGTGCCGTTAAACTTCCCAGCTGCTTTCGTTCCTGAGATATAGCGCCTTGTTTTTCGGGTGATCACATGACCATGCACGGTGACTTTGACCTCCAGTGACCCTGTCTGCCGAGTTCAAGTGCTCTGTTACTGGTGCGAGAGTAACGATTCTGCAAATGTTGTTCTGTTTGCCTGAGTGGGGGGCGGCGGTTTATTTTGCTTTTAATACCAGTATCTTCTGTGCGTTTGTGTGAACAGGAAAATTAAAATTGTCACCAATATCATACCCTAATCAGAACAGTTCTTGCGTCTCAGCAGTATAAATTACCAGGGTACAAGTAAAGGTTTATTCCATGTTGAAAATAGAAGAAAAGAAACACAATGTTTTGGCTTCTTTGGTTGTCAAGAAGAAAATGACCTGGAACGGAATAAACCTTTACTTGTTCCTTTGCAGCCTGCGCGTGCTGATGCAGCTCCCCACCTGAAATATAGATTACCTCCCAGGTTTAAAGGTACAATATCATAGCAAATATCAGGTTACAGTACAGAGGGTGCATATCAGAAAATGGTTCCATCACAGCCATGATAAGTGATGAATTATAAGTAAAACCATTCAGGTGGGGAGCTACGTCAGCGTGCGTAGGCTGCAGAGGAACAAGAAATAGCTTTATTCCATGCTGAAAAGAGGAGAAAGAAAACACAATGTTTCGGCCGTGGAGCCTTCTTCAGGTGTGACACCTGACACCTGAAGAAGACTGCTCCATGGCCAAAACATTGTGTTTTTTCTTTCTCCTCTTTTCAGCATGGAATAAAGCTATTACGTGTTCCTAAGTAAAATCATTCACAAAACAGGTCCATTACAATGCTTACCCGTTTTAACCAATTTTCTTAGAACTTTACAATTTATGAAAGTATTTGATTTCTTTTATTTTTTCCATACACTTTTTTAAAAATAATTCTATGAGAGAGTTAGATTGTATTACACCGTGCGCCAGGCGGGCAAGCCATGGGAGTACAGAACGGGGTGCCACCACACGGCCGTCGTGGGAGACCCACAGTCCCTTAGCAGTACTATAACAGCAACCAGAGCCCACCCAAGACTGCCGTTCCCTCTCATCAGCAGCCACCTGCAGCGCAGCCACATCACTTAAGGAAGGAGTCTGAGTGCACTCCAACAAAACGCTTTCTGATCTTCCTGTGCGCGCCTCGCACTTCACAACTGCAGTAGAAGCTGGTAAGAGTATAGCAGTCAGCAGATTTGAAATTAGACTTGTATGCTTGATAAGGGTTATTGCTTGTTGAGCAGAGCATGATGGAGGCAGTTAAGCAGCTTTAACAACTTCACTGTCAGAACAGATAGCATATCCCTAGAGCAAAGAGCCATCAGAATTTTATCACAAACACAAAACA